TGATAATAGTATATTATTATACGAGAGATAATGCAGGCTATTATTCAAAAGGATAAGGTTTGCATGTCGAGCCGCCAGGCGAGAGACGTAATTCATCCGAGTAAATAATGCGCATTATTTCGAGTGTAATACTATGTTTGTTCTACTCCAATTAAGAAATTTTCATTGATAACAAAATTTATTTTTTATAACCTCACTTTTCTTCTATTTTAAAGATCATTATAGTCGCCCCTCGTATATATAAATAAATCTGACATCTGTCAACCTTACTTTTTTCTAATTTAAAACCCGATTGTTTCAAATATCAGTGAATATTAAAATAAGCCAATCACTGATACCTACAAAGTAAATATAATTCACTTTGATAGACCGGACGGTTATATTGGTTACCATTATTTACGCAAAAAAAACAAAAAATATCAATAATATGCAATAGAAGTAGAAAAACGTATTAATAGTGCACAAAATGCATTTTAGTTTAAAATTTTAATGTGTTTAATTTACATAGTAAGAATAAATATTTTAATTTATATTGCCCAGATAGGTAACAAAAAATCACATAAAAAGGTAAATACATTAAAGAGGGTTATTAACAATTTTATTTGCAAAATTATGCAAAAGTTTATAATTATTTTAGTATTAAATGTCTATATTTCATTTAAATATATTATTTTATTAATAACAACTTATTAAATAATATATAGTTTATTTAATAAGTTATAGAACATAATATATTATATTATATTTAAACTATTTCAGAATCAATGTTATTCCTTAAATATTTAATTATTGCATAAAAGCTTAAAAGTCAAATGAAATGTGCCTAGAAAGAATGGTAAATAGCAGGTAGGTAGAATTATTGAGTTTAAAAATAGATATGTTAATTTTATTACCAAAACCCGAATGCCTCCGAACAATTACAATGGAGCATTCAAATGGACATTACTTCTTTCCGTAACTGTACTTGGAAGCACAATCCACATGTGGATTGTGCTTGGAAGTATGTGTAAACATTGGTACACAGAGACATCTATCGCAACATCCATAAACTTGATGCAAATTTCAAACGTCTAGGATGTAGATTTCTATATTATATTTATATATTGTGTTCTGTGGACCAGATGAACGGATTTATCCGTTTTTTACGGATTTTCCAGGTCTATAGAAATTGGAAACGGATTTTGAACGGATTTTCATCAAATACGGATTTTTACGGATTTTTAAGATAGCTTCATACTAATACTAAAAAAACATCATTTTTGCCCCGTTTTTTGATCATCTTTGTCACGCTTCTATTCCTCTTCCTTTTTACTACGTTAGACAGAAAAAGAAAGCGGATTGAAAAAGGATGTGTTCTTAATATAGGGTTCTTAAACGCCGAATATATGCGAAACATATGCTTTTTCATTGAGTGTGACAAAGAGAACGATAGTTTCATATCATTTGTTAAGGTTTTATAACACGTTGTTATTGCTGCCAATATATAAGCGGCGCAATGCCACCAATAGTAACGACTAACCAATACTGACTCCAGTTCAGTGCATTGTGGCAATATTTTGATCTCAAAGTCAATGTTTATTATATATCCGAATCTGTATATAAAATACTTTATTTTGTGAAAAATGGAAAGTGACGAGAATTATATCACTGACGCAGAGGTTCAAACTTCTGAAACTCCCCCGAAAAATTCTGAGAGGTTTCGGATTTTCTTTGACGAAAGGTAAGTTTTGTCAAGAAAATCCCCCTTATAGAAGAAATTCTTCGAAATTTAGACAAAAACGGATTTTTACGGATTTTTCGAGGCTTCCCCCCACCCTTTCCACGAATATATACGGATTATCCGACCATCTGCTCTGGCAGCACTGTCTGTGGTGCATACTAAAGTAACCTAAATTTGTTTTATTTGTTTTTTTCATATATTTTTTATAATACAAGTTATTTATCTAAATATATTTAAAATATTATTTCTCACTTTGAAGCAACATCATGGTTTAAATAAGTAAGTATTTTTAAAAATTGTTTTTATTTATAGGTAGATTTAGAATGATACTGTATACTTTATATTATATTATAGTACCTAATATTTAATCAATCAAATAAATTTAAAAAATTTTGGACAACAAAATATGTTTTTGTGTAGGTATTTATTTTCGATAAATTATAAAATATAATTGGCAATAACTGATTTGTTTAAATCTTCCACTTATATATTTTCTATACTTTTTTATTTTATAGTTAATTCTTATATTTACGGCATTTCTTGCAACCCTAACCTTATAACCCTTAGACTCTAAGGGTATAGGGTAGGTACTTACCTAAATTTATAACATTAGTTTGGTATTTGTCATACTAAAACATCTAGCATGTTTAGTAAGTTTTAAAAATGTCACAAAAGGAATTTTTTCAAACAATCCATAAAAACTAATCACTAATTACACAGCAACACTTTTAATTTGGATGTAAACAAAAATTGACAGTTGTTTTAAATATGCACTGCGCATGACTGGGGGTCGTCTATGTTTTGAATTTGACAGAATTAAATTAACAAATTTAGTTGTTTTATTTCAAAAGATGTTGAAATAGGTTATCTGTATGGGTATTTGTAATTGTGTGTTTTTAGGTGAGACTGGCAATATTTTGTGCCAGGGTTCGTTTTGTTGTAATGACAAGCAGTGTTACCAATGTCATATATTAAAATTATCCACCCAGACGTCTGAAATTATCCGCCAGGATCCGATTTTTTAAAAGGGAAAATACGCTAATTTTAAAAATAAGTAAAAATATACAAAGATACAAATCTTTTTATAATGCTTTTAAAGCATACATAAATAATAAATAAACATAATTTATACGAGTATTAAAAAAATAACAACATGAATTCTTGCTTGCACATAATATTACAAAGTGTCATATTAAAAAATAACATAATTTAAATTAAATGATTTTTTTAGTTCGCTTTAACTTCTTGGATCTTGGTGTTGTAATAGCTATTTTCGCGGAGCTAATCCCGAACTAATTCACATCCTAGGCATGCGCTTTTTAAAATTTGGCGTTCAAAATGTAAAGTGCGCATGAAAAATATTAAAATGCGCATGCCTAGGATGTCCGAACTAGTTCGGGATTAGCACCGCGAAAATCTCATAATCTTCATAATTCTGAAGATGATGTATTAATACTATCCTAAAACAGTGAATTTTAAAATGGGTTATTTTTATTTAGAATTTTTAACTTTTTACAAATTAGAGTGTTGCCCCAATTTTTTCCGTTAACTTCAGAAATATAAATACCATGGTTTTTGAAATAGTAGATATTAAAATATATTTGCCAATATCCTAAATTATCCAAAATTATCCGATTTATAATAGGGTTAGAAAGAGATCCGCAACCCCGCAAAATTATCCGCAAATCGGAGAATTATCCACCAATCGGCAACACTGATGACAAGGCAACATAAAAGGTCATTAAAGGTTGGTACCTGTTATTTTTAATATTGTTAATTATGTTAAGGTTTTTTATTACTTTATTCAGAACGGGAGCATTTTAATAGGCGATCTGACAACGAATTATAAGTAATATATTAAAAATCACTTATGTGTACATAAGTTATTTTTTCATACTTAGGTATACATGTGGCAGAGTTTTCTGGAAAACCGGAAAATATGGGAAATACGTGAAATACTTTAGATATAATGCAGGCTATTATTCACGAGGATGATTTTTGCGTCTAGAGCCGTTAGGCGAGAGACGTAAATCATCTGAGTGAATAATGCGCATTATCTAGAGCTTTGCTTTTCTACTGGAGCATTCCACGTTACTCGGTAATTTTTGTCCCGCCCGTCACAATTAAAAATTGTGAGTAAAAACCACAAGTTATAAAATTAATATTTTATAATATTATTTTTATTGTGCTTATAACTTATTAAACGCATAATAAAACACTATTTCAAAATAAATTTTATAACGTATAGTTTTTACTCACAATTTTTAATTGCGACGGGTGGGACAAAAATCCCTGAGTAACGTGGAATGTCCCTACTCCAATTAAGTAAATTTTATTAATATAACCTTACTTTCTCCAGATTTTTATGATTATGTTTACCCCAAAGTTAATACGTATTATCTTTGGTTACCCCTCGTATATATAAAAAATTAGATCTGTTAACAACCTCACTATAACCCAATTTAAAGCTGAGTGGTTCAAATCATAGTAAATATTAAAATAAGCCAATCACTGATGCCTAACAACGTGAATAATGATTTCAATATTCCCTTTGTTAGGCGGCACGGTTATATTGGTTACAACTATATACGATTAAAACCCTAATAATATCAATAATATTCAATAGCAGTCGAAAAATCCTTATATAAATTCATTATATTTTTTGCCAGGTGAGATGGGCCATGAGCCATGGTTCGAGCATGATGAAACTGTTTTCTCCATCTCTTGAAGATATGTATAAATAAGTAACATACCATACCCAGTGTTTTACTATTATTTAAACTATACGTACACTGAATACTATTTTAAATTACATTATCTTTGAATAAAAACTCTTTTATAGTAATATGGGTTCTGTAAAATTAAAAACGGACATATCATCTACCTTGCTAAGGAAAAAGGGTAACTACCCAGTAAGCACTAAACAGTCGGCCCGCTTAAGCTTACGCTTATGGGCCGCGTTATGTTACACGTACTAACCGAAATCGGCCAGGATCCGGTATGCTGAGGCATAAGCGATACATCTCACCTCTGATTACGCACCGTGGTAAGTAGAAATGGGTTGCAATATTTAGGTGGAGGTGTGCGTCTGTAATGACACAGCTGAACATTTGATTCATTCATTCATTCATTAGCGTGAATTCATAGGATTTTTTGTCCGCTTTTGATTCTACATTAATACAAATATTGAAGCATTTATACTAAAATTAAAAAGCGTAATGGCATATATTTATTTATAAAAATTTAGTACAATTAAATTAAAACTAAATATCTATTTAACCTAATTAAATCGACTTGTTCTCGCATCTCTTCTATAATTTGTTATATTAGCTCTTTCAATAATGCCTCTTTTAAAGCTTGGGCGTTGCCACTTGATATTTTCTGGTCTTATACTACTTGATTCTACTTGTACGGGTATCTGAGATCTCCTATTACTTCTACTGTAAGCAGTTCTATCAGGGACATTTGCTGGTTCCAGGTTCACTGTGGTAGTGCTTGATAGAACGTTCTTTGTGTTTGAGGTTTCTTTGGTAAAGTTAGTCGGCAGTGGTATTTTAACAAACAAAATGTCATCTTGTTTGTTGGATTCGTTGCTTATATGGTATTGAACGTTTTTAAGATCGTTTGATCTAATGACATTGATCAAATTTTGAATGGCAGCGTATTTGGGGTTAGTCTGGTTCGTTGTGTCCATTCTCATTTCCATTTTCTGTGGTGGCGGTGTGTCTGTGTTATTTGGTGGCATTTCTTTATGAAGATACATCACTGGCCAGTGACGTGGTTGGCCAAAACCACCAGGTTTTGGTGGTTTTAGGAACTCATTGTCGAATTGATGTTCATAATCTTCGAGGTTTGTTAGAGGTGGAGGTATGGAGTGCAGATCTGAAGGTCTATTTGGACGTATGCCTGGTCGGTATTGTGGTGGAGGGTAGTCTGGGAGATGTTGAGGCCCATGAGGAATCCATGGGTCATTATAATGAGGAGGTCCATAAGGTAAATATGGTTTTGGAGGGAGGGGATCTATCCTATCTATGTAGCTTTCAATGTAAGGGTAGTATCTATCGCTACATTTTCTCCATTGGGTCCTAGACGGTCCTACGTAACACCTAAAAATAATAAAATATTAACAAAACATTTTTTGCAGAATGTATTTTACCATTGATATGGACATCCTTTGGAATTTCCACATTGATGATCAGGATGGCAACAATAATCCCAAGCATTTCTCTCACCGCCTTCGATCTCGCAGTACCAAAATCCTGCTTCACGATTTTCCTTACATTTCGTACCTCTTTTGCAAGGCCATCCACTGACACTATACACCCTCCAGGTGTCCAAACTATTGTAAACCTCCTTATATATTTCGATTCTACGGTCATCCACGTGATTTTCATGGAGAGGTTTGATTGCATGGTCATGACAAGTAGGATTAAAGTTATCCCAAGCAAAAAGCCATGAGTCTGGATCTGGAACGTAGTCAATGTTTGGCAGCAAATCTCTTTGACCAATATCTGAAAGTTCGCAGTTTGGACCTGTACCCACGTTTGTCGACCTAAAGACATTTTATTATTGGTATTATTTATGAATCATGTGAGTTTAGAGTTTAAATGCAATAAATACATAGTATTGAAACTTACTTAAAACTAAATGACATGCACTGAAACAAAGTGTTTTCTCTAGCTCTGGAGCATTCAGCTTTGCAATCGTGCTCAGTATGTACCCTTACAGATTTTCTTGTAGAATGTCTTAGAAGTCTGGCTGGGGACCCATAACCAACGTAACAAACTAAAATATATAATATATATTATTTAATTTTCATTAACTTAAATATATTTTTGTTACGTTGATTAGCTTCTTCAGAGTGATCCTTATTATGTCTTCCTCTTATACCAAAATGATCTGGTTCACAACCATGACCATAGCTTCCTCTTTCGTAAACCTCAAAACCATATTCTGGGATAAAATGTAATCGTGGGTCTAGTTCATAGAAAGGCCAATCTGTAAGCAAGCAGTTTTCAACTGAACCTCCTATAGTTGGTGATCCATATCTAGAAATAGTTTCAGTTTAATTTTAAAAATTATAAATTATAGATTGTTGTTTACCTGAAGCTGTAAGCTCTACATGTAAATCTTCTACTATTCAGGCATTCCAATTGACAGTCGATAATGGATTTTACAGTCAGTGAGTCCCTAACGACTTTGTGATCTAATCTTTGACCACTTCTTACTCTCCAGAAACATTCTATAAAAAAAGATTGTCCAAATAACATTTTTAGAGAAACTTATTTACTAACCGCTTTCATCTTTTTCCTTTTTCACAGGTTGTAGACATCTATTAACATTATTCATGGTATAAATATCGAAATCTCTATCAGGCTCTAGGTCTACGTAGTAATCTAGTTCCTTATAATTTCTAGGGCTAATATAACAATTATCTGTGGCTGCATTTAATGTCGTGGTATATCTTAAAACACAATAATTTAGATTTTTACTAACAATTTTATAAAAAAATACCTGTAGGCATAAGAGGCACATACAAAATCAGGTTCTATAAAACATAACTTTTCGCATTCGTAAATATTTGCTACCAAAAAAAACTTTTTTACTACTCCTTTATGCAAACGAAAACCTGTGGCTGTCCGTAGTGAACATTCTAAAAAATAAATCGTCTTTACTAAAGTTAAACTTAAACTGTTTAATTAGGTTAAATTTTTCCAAACTAGGTTATTTTTGTTATTAAAGATCTACTTACCATCCCTTAAGAAATCGTAGCTTGGAGCCCTTGGCTCTGCAGGCAAAATAGAGTTATCTAAGCTATCAATACTATGTCCAGAATGTCCATAAACTGGCTTATGTGGTAAATACGGTATTCTGTTGGATTCCGGTAAGTAATCTATAGGTTTTGGTGGTTTTGGAATATAGCTGCCACCTTTAGGAGGACCATCAATATAAATGGGATTTTTATGGTGGTCATATTTATCCCCGAACTTGTTAAATCCCCAGTAACTAAACCTTTGTCCATTGCCATAACCATTATACTGCAGATAGCCGCCATTATTGCCATACGTGCCTCCATATTGTCCCCAATCTTTATTGCTATCAGGTTTAGGAGGCAAATAGTAGTTCTTATGTTCGATATCATATCTATTTTTGTTGTGGAACCTATTGGTCTCGCCAAAATTGCCATAGTAACCACCATACGATCCCCATTTGCGGTTGTTCATCTCCCACATGTCTTTATCGTATCTATCTTGGAAATATTTATCGCCGCCATATTTAACATGGTTCTGAGGCCTGTCAAACCTATCAGTCGATGGTATGTATGGTTTATATGCATCATAGTGCGGTCTATGGTAATGAGTGGCGGGCAAGTAAGTAATGCCCGTGTAATGATGATTATCCTTATAACTATTTCTATCGTTGTAAGTGTAATGATAACTATGACTGTTTTCGTAGTTATGTGATTGGTGATATGAGTAGTCTGTAAATAAAAGTAAAACATTACAATGATGTATTTTAATTATTTATTAAGGGCAGGTTATTACATGTCATTTAAGTGCTTGAATACACGTGTGTGAAAAAATGTTAAACAAGGCATAATACATCCCAAATAATGCTAGTCGGGAGATATTTACCTCCACGTCTGGTATCAAAAGGTCTATCACGACGGTCGTCATCGTATCTTCTGTCTATTTCCGGTCTAGGTCTTCTATAACCATACTTATAATCATCTCCCCATCGATCACCACTAGGTCTTCTTAAACCATACTCTCTTCTATCAGTATCGTATCTTCTATCAGCGTTATAATTGCTACCTCCAGAGTAATAATCACTACCCCCAGAGTAAGAATTACTTCCTCCAGAGTAATAACTTCCACCATTGTAGGAACCGTACGATCCCCCTTTGTAACCTTCTCCACCATAAGAGTTGTATCCACTTCCAGGTCGGTAGCGGTGGCAGTTCGTAAGGGCAGCATTTCGATCTTTTTCGTAGTAATCATAATCCGCGTCTGGATAAATGTCTCTTCCTATGTCTAGCCTAGATATCGGCAGGTCTAGGAGCTCGCAGTCGCCTTTTCCGCGACCTCTGGGATCCAATCTAAAAAATGTTTTGTTAGTTTTGAAGATGTTAATGTTGTCTACATTATTACTTAGTATTAATTAACTGTTTATGATAGTTCAAAGGTTTTTATTTATCAAAGCTTAAATGCACCAAACTCCAGGAGTTTTTGCAAAATTTTGTATTTGTAAATTTGTTCTGCCTAATTTACGAAGATTTGAACAATGTGTTGTTTTAACAAGGTGCAACCATACAAGTAATTATAAATACATACAAATTTATAAAAAATATATTAAGTTCCCAAGGACATTTCGTAAATAAAAACTCATTTAGTTGGGGTGACCTTTTAAACTAGGAAGTTGTGTGTCTCGGAACACATAAACTTGAGCCACTGCTTGTGTGATATGAGTAAAATTTATTATTTGTTGGGAAGTTATTATAAAGTTATTATAAACAATGTTAGTATTATTTATTAACGTATTTCTAGTAGAGATTCTCTACACGTTTTTGCAAAATTAATACTTTATTTGCTGATATACCTCTTCCCCAGAAAACTGTATTATAAGTAGAGATGGGATTTTAGGTTGCAAAATTTATAAAAATATGTGCCCAAATAGGTAAACTATTTTTTTTGTTTTAGGTGAGAAAATTCTTAGTAAATCGCACAAAAATTGTTCTTGTTACATCAATAAATTTTGGGTAAGTCATTTAAACAAATTTAAAACTAAAGAGGACCCAGAACCGAACCCTCAGGAACTCCTAGGTAATTTTAAAAATTTTTGGATAAGGAATTATTAGCTTTTATTTAAAACTGCCTATTTTAGATACATGAGCTTAACCATTCCAATATTTTATCTCTAAACCCAATTTTGGGTAAATTGTCAATGACAAAGGTTGTGTTTATCGTGTCAAAAGCTAACCCAGTTTATTAAAAAGAAACAGCATAAGCTGAATGGCAGATATTTTAGTTTAAAATATTTTTTATATAACCGTGTTGTGAGTTAGTTATTAAGTTGTTATAACCTTTTTTATATAATTTTTTTGATAATTTTTAATAATTAAAAGATTGATTTATTTTATACTGATGACAATATAATTCATTAATATTAAAACCAATAAAATGCCAATATTCCATAGTTACGCATTTTATCACAGCGACAATATTTCACATTGATTTGACATTTGTTGAAATTTAAAGCCTGTGTTTGATATATGATTAATAAATTATAAACTCTAAAAGATCGATGGGTTGGTGTAAACGATAATGAAATTAAGGTAAGTTTAAATAAATTAGGTTTATTAAAGTATTTTTACATTTTTAATCAATTTAATTTCAAATGTCAAACTAAATATTCGTTAAATCCTAAAATTCATTATATTTTCTCACTAAATATAACTCGTGGTATGATTAATTATCGATTATAATCATATATGATATGATTAGAGATGGGATATTTAGGTACTAAAAACTGAAAAATAGGTAACTAAAAAGGTACTAAAAAAAGCATTTTAGGTTAAAAAAACAGCATTTTAGGTAAAAAAAAAACATTAAAAGTTCAAGTTTCGTTTATTATTTTGTTTAGCCGCATACCCAAACACAGAAAATACCCACAATAAACTATTTATATGCAATAAACTGTGTTTCACTGAGTGACACTCACTACACAGAAGTTCTATGACAGAACATAAGCTCACTACAAAGAAGGTAACTGTAAAGAAAGTTACTGTTACAGTCTGTGACCATAAGAAAAAATTCTATACCGTTGAGTTGCACGCCCTGGATAAAATATTGGCGCAAAATTTAAAAAGAGCACAAAAAAATAAAATAAGTAAAAATACGTAAAAATAGGTAAAAAATAGGTGAAAATAAACTGACAAATTAAAAAATATGTAACAAAAGTATAAAAAGGTACTTTAAAGCAAAAACCTCCAAAAAAGGTAAAAAAGGTGAAAACAAGTTAAAAAATAGGTAAAAAAGTATAAAAAAGGTAGTTTAAAGCAAAAACCTCCAAAAAAGGTAAAAAAGGTGAAAACAAGTTAGGTTCACATAAAACAAAATCTTTTAAAACACCTTTTGGCATTATTGGTTTTCAAATAGTTACATCGGCTGAAAAAAGGTAAAATAACTAAAATCCCATCCCTAGATATGATTATAATCATATATGATATGATGGTATACCACTGGTTATATTATGGGTGAAAACAATTTTCAAGGAAGATCCTACTTGTTAAATCAACCTCCCGAACAAATTTTGCCTGTTTCTTCTATAAAAACTATAGATAAATAAATAGTTTTTAATAATTTTTTACGTGTGAAATATTCTCCTGGACTTTGGTTGGACCTATCCCGTATATTTGATACAGTGATTTTAAGATAATTTAAAAAAAATTTTAAATTATAAAATTAAAAATAAATATAAATTTAACGACAAAATTAATTTTAATTAAATCTAACTCTTAAAAAGATTATTTTAAAAGAATTATTTGTTTTGGACCTTGTAGAACACTATTAAATTAAATTAAAGCATTTTGCATAATATTTTCAAAATCATTAAATTACATAACAGATTTTAATAATTTAATAAAACTGTTTATAAAAGTTGTGTGGCACTTATGCATGCATAAATTTTCCAGGCCGGTGCATCAAAATCGAAGTAGGTTACGAATGGTACCGCAAAAATTTGATACGCTCATTTTCGCGATCAAATTGCATGACAGTGTCATGGTGACACACTATTTGTGTTATATATTTCGGCCTTGCAAGGTTCCATTTAATAGTAATGTGATTTATCACTAAACTATTTGTTGGTGTTTTCGAAGGTCCTGCATATAACACCTTTTGTTGATTTTGATTAGGTACTTCGTGATTATCAGTAATTATTATGCAACATCTCTTCAACTAATTGAAATAAACTAGTTTATAAAATTTAGATAATAAATAAATTGATGTTATATTGTGAAATAGATGTGATTATTTTGAGTACTAGTTTATAAAATTTACATAATAAATAAATTGATATTATTTTGTAAAATACGAGGTGTGTTCAGAAAATATCGAGAATTTTTGTTTTTTGAAACAAATATTTATTTATTCGTCTACATTAATGATGTCGCCTTCAAAATAGTTGGATATTATGCACATGTGCCAGCTCTTCTTAAAATGCTTGAAACACTTCTAAAACTCGATCTTTGGGATAACCTTTAGTTCTTTCAGCGATGCCCTTTTAAATGTCCTCTATGCTTGCAAAACGACGGCCCTTTAAGGTTCTCTTTATATTTGGGAATAGGAAAAAGTCAGACAGAGGCATGTCTGGCGAATATGGAGGCTGGGGCATCATTATATTGTTTTTGGCCAAAAATTTTGTTCAAAATTTAACAATTTTAGAACAAATGTTGCTGCCACGCGTTTCATACCCAAAACATTCGAAAAAAATTCATGGGATGAGCCAATCGATATACCAACATCATCAGCGACTTCTCTGATGGTTTATAACCATTTCTTCCACTTTTTCCATGTTTTTATCGGTTGTTAATGTGCTTGTGCGTTCGAGGCGTTCGTCATCTTAAACGCCTTCACGGCCATCTTGGAAACTCTTATACCACTTGTAAACTCTTGTTTTACTTATAGCAGACTCACTATAGGCCTTTGTTAACATTTCACAGAATTTATTTCATTTTTTAAGCAAAATTGGATACAAATTCTTTGAACCATTTCTTTTAACAAACGAAAAATCGCCAATCTCATAAAACACGTCTAACCTTAGCGGTTGCCACAGACAAAGTAAACAATAAAAACAGCTAAAGTTTTATCATACTTCGGGGGCATGTAAACCAACATAATAAAGAAAATTTTGGAACAACCGGACCCTTCGAACCCACAAAATTTAACAATTCCCGTTATTTTCTGAACACACCTCGTAGGTGTGATTATTTTGAGTACATTAATAATGACAATTATTAGTTATTTATTTAAATTTACCTCTTATAAACGAGTTGCATACTATACTTTTTCTACGACAAATATTTACTATTATCTAAAAAATGATTTAAATTAAATATTTCTATAAAGCGACAACTATACGAAAATAAAGTAACCATCCCATAAACATTTTTGACGTAATTTTCACCATTAATATTGCCTGTTAATTTAATTAAACTTAACAATTATTGATACTTGATATTGAAATGTTAAAATAACTTCGAAATATGATTATATTAAGAAAATATGTTATCCTTTAATATTTTTTCACTATCACTATAATCTAAATTTATCCCTTAAAATATATATCGATATAGAAACAGTTTTTAACAGTTTTTTAAAAGAGAAGAGAATGTTTCATGGAAACTGTACCCAAAATTTTTAACGCTTTATCAGTTAAATCAAGTTAACTGCACTACTACGGCGAAATCAAAAGGTCAGTACAAACGTTCATAATATGAATATATTATAATTAGAGATGTAAAAAACGTTTTTTTCACATGTGAAAAAAACATGGAAAAAAAACTAGAAAAAAATGTTTTTTTGTTTTTTTTTCAAATCCGCTACAATAAAGAATATTCTGTCAATAAATACATCAATCTTAAAAAATGGAGTAATTTTTCAAAATGAAATTTTGAGTAAAATATTAATAATAAAGTGAAATGTAGAATATATTACATTTTTCATTATTGAAAATTTTGACCGAGACTAAAAAATCTGATTTCTTATTATTTGGTAGTTTCCACATAAGAAACCAATAGCAATGTAAAAAATGGAAAAAATTATGGAGCCGTAAAAAAAGCAATTTGAAGCTTGAAGTTTCTAATTTTTAGATAAAAAACGTGCAACCCTCAATCCTAACGAATACCGTAATAAAAAAAAACGAAATTTTTTTGGCTTTCTTTTTTGGTCCACGGAATGTTCTGACTTAACCACTAATGAATAAATGTTCTCCAAAAATTTGCTATTGTTTTAAAAAAAAAAATCCATACTCTACATGAATTTGAAAAAATCATGAAAAAAAGTGCTTTGGTAGCTTTTTGAAAAATCAAGCGCTAAA